AAAAAAACTTTTCGAATTTCATTCAGAAATGACAATGTTATGGTTAAAAAATTAAACACTGTAAAATAGCTTAAAATGTAAGGAAAAATCGATTCATATATCTCAGAATGGCTATTTTTTGAAGAAATGTGACATAGTAACTTTGGTAGAGGAAAGTTTGCTCTACAAAACCCTATAGACGGTTTCTCAGATACGGACGAATAGAATGAATAAATCACGATTGAACATTGTATACGATATTTTTATCAAAAAAAATCTGACATCTTCCGTTTTTATGATAAATATTTTGATCATAACATCGTCATATCTCAATGAAATTCAAAAAAAAATTTTATCAAAAGGATCAGCGAAAAAAGCTCTACAAAGTCTTATACGGAAAAGAATTTTTGGATATTTTCTGACTTTTTGGTTGGCTACGCATGGAAGTACCCTGCGAAATCGACTACCAAAATTTATGTATTGAGTTTTGTCGATGTATTTTACTACTAGTTATAGCTAGAGAACTGAAACTTTTAGCAATAAAAGATCTAGATCAGATGTATATGTGATAAAAATTTCAGTCTTCTACGTCGAGTAAAACTATGAAAAATACGAATAAAAAATTATCCTCAGTTATTATGGGACACCCTTTATTTAGCAGCTGTTAAAAATTTTTCTTTACTCAATTTCGATGGAGGGTGTGTGGGTTCCTTGTTTTAATTCACACCCACATCATAACATAGAAACTCTATCTTCTAGTTAATTTTTATTACTGGTATTTTAATGATGAAAACTGCAATAGAAAAGAAGTCGATCAACTCACCTTCTCTTGAAAAACAAACAATTTTACAGCTGAAAAATTTCCTTGATTTCTTTTTTCTATGAAAAGAAAAGATTGTTTTTATCGATCAATACTTCCAGGCATTGCTTGCCGTACTTCTGTTTACTATGGTGTCGTATAATAGCTTTCACTTCATTCAATACTAGCTTATTTTTTGTGGAACTCACGTCTGTTTTCGAAGAAAATAGTGAGTGTAAGTTTTCAGTTCGAGGTTGGCGGCTCCCCCCACCCCATTACAGACACATAGCAACGGAAAAGAGAACATTACAGACATACCCCCCATTACAGACCATAGCAACTCCAGAAAAAAAAGTAAAAATTTTATTCGAAGTATAGAAATAAAGATGGCAGCATTTGCTGACAATCGATTATCATTAGAAAACAACCATCGTCTTTTAAAGAATTTAAACACTGTATTTTGTCATTAGTATAATAAATTAAAGAAGATATATGAGTTCCACATTTCAGCCCCAAAGGGGTTGTGCTGACAAGCTTTTTGAGGGTGTTTCGGATCAGCTTGCCCTAGCAGATGCGAGATAAATCTTTAGACTATAATNAAATGCATATAAAGTTCTGTATTTAAAATCTCATAAAACAACTTTTGATGGGAGTCAATTAGCTGCAGTAAAATTACTCTATGCTTGGCGTGATAAAATAGCTCGAGAAGAAGATGAATCAGCGAGGTATGCTAATACAAATAATCTTAATTGAACAAAAAGAAAACAAAATCTAATTTCTTTTTTATAGTTATGTTTTACCAGATTTAATGCTAATTCATATAGCTGAATTAATGCCTAAGTAAATTTTTCTTTTATGATTTTGTTCTTATAATTATTGTGATTTTTCTTTTGAAGAGATATTCAAGGTATTCGAGCAAGTTGTAAACTAGTTCCAGAATTAGTTGAAAAAAACCTCGAAGAAATTCATCGATTATTAATACAAGCTATTGAAAAACCATTATCGGTAATAATATATTTGCTGTTCTTTGTAAATAACTTTAATTATCGATTCTTTGTAGGAATTAAATGATGGAGAATCAAACTTAGATGAATCATTACAAAATAAGCGTTCTATTTCATCATCGGATACAAATATTCCAATAGACTTATCGTTAAATAATGATAGTAAACGAGCAAAGCTCGTTTCAGAAAAATAAAAAAATTTTTCTCAGTAGTAATAAAGCGTCTTTTTTTCCTATATATAAATGTAACTTCGTAATGATCATTGAATAAATATAATCAAAAGAATTGGTTTGTTTAATCTCAATAAATGATGAATGTCAAAAACAAGAAACATATTAAACAATATCTATATATATTCAAAATACTATCAAGACATATTTCATCATAATTAGTATACGAAAATTAATTTAGATTAACTCTGGATATACTACATTATCTAATAGTACGCATGTCAAGCTACAAACAATTTTTGACAAAACAATATGTTAGATTTGAAAGATAGATAAAAAATATAATTTAGATTTATTATCAGTAGTTGGAAAAAAGACCATTAAGTCGAATAACGTCGTCTAGTTCTCAATAGCATTATTAACATACAACATGAATATTATTATTTCTGAGATATAATGAGTACATTTTATAAAAGACATGATATACGTAGCTATTTCTAATCGATTGTTTTAGTTGATTTTATCAAATAGGTGACTAAGTAAAATTCCGGTTTGCATTTTTTTTCCTATATTATCAATAATAAATTCATCTTCTGTCATATTTTTTTTTTTCGATGAAGGTAATCGATGTTCAAAAGTACTTTCACTCGAGAATTATTACATACTAAGTCTTTCATATTGCCTTATGCTTCTTTTTTTTTCCATCATGATCATTAGCAAAAATATACATAATTTGGTCTATATTTAATTGTGATTTGTTATACTATATGATTTATAAATTAATCTCGTATGAAAAAAAATATTTGCCATATTAATTAGAGTAAACACGCACATAGGGAATCATACTGTATATTCTTATGTCACGAAAGATTCGCTTGATAAGAAAATTAATGAAAATGAAGGTAAAAAAACAAATATGATGCTTAGTACTTTTTTTTGGTACAGATAACCAATTATCTTAATCTCTTGTCTTTCAGTCTTTTATTTTTTTATTTTTTGTTTCTCTTATTATTATTATTATCATCGTACTACTATGACTTACTTTATCTTCATCAGTATCGTTTTTGCAAGATCAATATAATTTGTTGGTCTATATCTCAAATCTCGACATTCAAGGTTATAGTCAGTGGTATACTAAACGATAACAAGAATAGGTATTAATCATATTCCTACAGTCTTTGATCAGCTTGAAGTACGAAAGTACTAAGGTTTCATCAATATAATAACAAAAATTGGAGAGTATTTTGGTGATTATTTGTTCTTTCTCTATACTCTATGGAACATGCTTAGAAGAAAACAACACATAAAACAAGATAAAGTAAGAATTTTTCTTAAAGATTATTCATTAAATATAATGAAATAAAAAACAAAACGATAGAAGATTCAATGTTTTCCTATATAAAAACAATAAACCTCTAACAAATATCTACAATTATATTTCTTCGTCAATTATCAAACATAGTTTTTACTTATCTTTTCATTTGAAACATCTTCGCATGTCTATATGCATTTTAATCAACGTCATGTTTTTTCCTTCATTAGTTTACCAGCTGTTACCGAATAAAAATGTTTCATTATAACACTGAAGGGTACCTGGGGAAATCGACATTGTAAATTTTTTTTTTTTGAGAAATTTATTTTATTGAGCTAATTTTAAGAGTTTTTATTTTCTCTTATAAGTCTCTAATCTTTTATTTTCCTATTAGTTGATGATAACAGTTCATCATTCATAAAACTAATGACCATCGATCTCTCTCTCATTTTCTCTCTGTCTCTGTCTCTGTCTCCCTCTCTCTCTCTCTCTCTCTCTTTATTTATATATTTGTTGTTCGTGCGTCATCATGGTTTATTTCATATCTGAGTGCTCACGCGCAAATGCTTTTCAATTTGCTTTTGGCATTATTACTTTACACTTGCTCATTCTCATTTTTTCTTCAAATATAAACAAGGGAACAAAAGACTAATATCGATATTGGAATGACATATGATCATTTAGAAAAAAAAGAGAGAATACATGGGGATTTTTATTATTCTTCATCTATAATAAACTAAAGTAAAAAAAAAACAGCTTCTCAAAGAATGCCAAAGAATAGAAAAAAAAGGAAAAAAAACATCTTCGCGTTTTTTTCTCTTTGTTTCCCGTGAAATGATACGAACGTATGGCGATAGTTGTGATTGGCTGCTAGTAAAGCAATTTCAGGAAGTTTGAACAATTTCGTATTGATATTATTTTCTTTTTTTATGCCCTTATTTTTTTGACAACAACTATATCTCGTTTTATTAGCACATGAACTATGTCTACAAAACACAATGGTTTGCTGAATAATGGTTATTGAAAATACAAATGATAGTTAATGTCATCAACTAGTCTCAAATCTTATTATAAATCGTCCTATTCAAAATATAATTGTAACATTTTCTAATTTACTGGCTTGTCTCTATGGTTCGGAGCTCTAATGGAATGAATATGTATTTTCATCATCGTAGTTCATTTTATTCAATTGTCAGTTTTTCTTCTCGCTATATTCAATCAATTTCATATTACTTTCTATTTTGTAAGTATTCATCGATTTTTTTTTTCGTTAAGCTAGATTTGCATTTAATAGACAAGCAGATTAGAGTAATGTCACAATTGTTCGTACAAGAAACTTAAATCCTCTATTCAGTATTATTTCTTCTTACAAAAAATTGCCTTGTTTTTCTCTAGGTTTTCTCTAATTTTTTTACTATATCGATCATATCAATCTATTATACAAATGTATGGATTCTACTTTAATGTCAATCGTTAATAAATCAAGTACTCCTGGACGGTCCCATTCACCATCAAGATCATTGATTGAAAAAATTAATAATGATTCTCAAGAACGTGTTGCTTTTTTTCAACAAATTCAAATAAAACCACGTTATCATCATCAACAATACAGTTTAAAAAAACCAAATATTAATATTACAAATATTTCATCAACATCTACTCCATTAAACAATCGAACACCAGTAAATATATTACAACTTAAGCAACAACGTTTAATAGCAGCAGCTGATAGAAAAAAACGTATTATTACACGTATTATAAGTATTGTTGGACTTCTAATAATTCTTTTATGTGCTGGAATTGTTACACTTACACTTAAAATGGCACCAAAAATTGATGAACTTGTACGTACAAGATCAGGTAAACATAATATATTGTATCATATGCCTCGAATGAGTACACCACCATTAACAACAACAACAACCACAACAACAATTGCATCAAATAATTTTACAATAAATAGTACTTCAATATTTAAATTTCCATTTCGTTCTTGACGAAGATCATTGATGTAATTCAATTGTGCTTTCTTATAATCAACTATGCACTTCTATTATCAACAATATATAAATATATATACGTACAAACTGTATACATATTCGATATGTCATCATCATTATCATCATATAATTTGTATCTATGATCAATCCTCATACTGATATATTCGGATAAAACAAAAGAATAAAATATTAAATGTTTATTAATAAACATACCTCTATTGGATACATGTACTTGCCAACATTGATTAGATGAATTGGATATTTCGATATCTAAGATGTTATTAATTGTCAGAGTAAAAAATAAATATATTTCATCAAATTTGTTTTACTTAAATTACTTTTTTTTTTTTCTTCTCTTTTGTGCGTTTATGACAATACAAGGAATATGATATGTTAATTATTTATTTTCAATAAATTTTAAGGATAATAGGAATTGAAATTTATGTAATGAAAAAGAGAGACTCTTTTACAAATGAAATGCACTCAAGCTTACATCATTGAAATGTTAATAATTTATCTACTATGCTTTTATTTATGTCATTAACGTGCCTAGAATACTAAACAATTCATTAATACTTAATAGCTTTTTTTTTTTTGACATTTGAAATTTAAATTATTATGCTTAATTCATTACAATTTTTATGTCTAACAAAAAGATAGAAAATAAAAAAAAATGGAATATAATTAATCAATAGTAATCATTGTCGATTTAATTTTCATCACATACTGACCCTTTTCTCCCGAATAAAAGATTTATAATAAAATATTTGAAATATTCAATTGTTCTATTTTTGTTCAATGATTAATATTTCCAAATGCTAAATTTCACAACAATGATTAGATTCGATCAGAAATAGAAATTTTTTTCCATGAATTATTTAGTGTAACCAGAAAAAATTTCTACGACGATTTTAGTCTGTAGAAAGAGCGGAAGCCCTTATGATTATATTTTTTAGTAGGAATTCAAAATCTCTTTTCAAGCGTGAAACTCATACCTTGCAACGAAAAGCTCAAAAAACTTTTAGAAATCGCCAAAGGTCATGTTAGCCCTCATCTTATTACATGAGTATCATGGAGTATAATATATTTCTTCGATCGATTGATTTCATCAGTCATATATTGAAATGCAACAACAACTATTTAATTATTAACCGTGTTCGTGTTAACTTAGTGCAATTGAATATTCAATGATTCTTTCAACCGTGAAATTGTTTCGAAAACATCGATAATATTAACATAGTAATTTTCGCATACAGTAACTTATCTAATATCAATTCTGATCGAATTATTCATTAATATACAATTTACAAATATCAATAGTTATGAGATTAACACGTCATGCAAAAATGTTTTGCATTAATATCAAATTCTGTTAGACAATATTACTAACTTCAAAATCAATCAAATTTTTTATTGTTGAAAAGAGCAATGTCTAAATGACAAATTTTATTGAATATATATTTATATGAAGAATGAATCTAAGAAAAGCTAAAAAAGAAATTCTTGCAACATCATCATCAAGCAAGATCATATTCTAATTTATGTGATTTTTATTATAAGCGGAAAAAAGAACGTATACTGATAATGTTTATAGCATCAATAGTGTTCTATTTAATAAAAAAAAAAAAAAGAAAACTTGATCGATTTACAAGTTGACTGTCACGTCTAGAAGAGTATCATATGTCTGTAAAACAAAATTTTCTATATTTTGCTTAACTCGATATATATATACGATAGTAAATCTAAATACTATTTCATATATAATTATTTTGGAAAGGAAGGATTGAACATAAGAATATTTACTATCTAGCAGTGTATGAAATGAAAGAATAATAAGAGCAGTATTCATCCAAAAAAAAAAAGTTTTTATATATATTGATGAGTAAAACACAAATCAAATTTAATATTATAGTTTATCAAAATATGGAAGAAGTGTATTAGATAATCTTTCTAATATCAATGTATTCTATATAAACATAGTCATTTTTTATTTTCATCATATCTTCCTAATTTAATCATGTATCCTTGATAGTTGATGAGATTTTCATCAATTGCCATCAATTTTTTATATATTTTTCCAACTCAATCTTCATCTAATATATATATATAAAACATTGCTACTATAAAAACCGCTACCAGAAATCAAATGATCTTTCCTAATTATTTAATCTATTTTTCCTAATTCTTTTCAATAAACACTCAAATTACTTGAGATGGCTTTTTTCATTGTTCCAATGTAGCAGACAAACAACTTCTAGAACTTTAATCATATTGTAACGGAATCTTATAACAATCTTTCCACGTTCCTATATCGAAAAATCATATAAAAATAATTATTCCGATCATTAATAAATACAATTAGTTTTTTTTTTTTCTGAATTGATTCACCGTTTTCATATACAAACATACATACACATAGACATATGTACATGATCTGACCGAGATGACAACATATACCGTAATATATTAATCATCAACCGGGATACACAATAAGCACACAGACAATTTCAAATACAAAAAGAAAAACGAGGAAATTAAACAACAAAAATTATGAATTAACAAGATAGGAATACATCGGATTGTGTAGAAGATGTTGACAAAAAAGTATTTGCATCGTTTCAGCTCTAATCGAATAAAGACTCGAAAGAAAAAGTAGAAGTTTTGAATAAATTGATGCGACACTTATTGTTATATTATTATTAATACTCATTACAGATGATTGTTGATGAATTAATGATTGTTTCAGACTTGTTAATTGTTTAACATAAAGTTGTTGTATATTTGTATTATCATTAAACACTAAAAGAACAAAAAACAAAATATCTTTCTTGTTTTTGCACTTAATAAATGAATAAATATTTTAAAATATGTACCTTCTTTCATACTTTTAATAACAATAATACGACGTATATGATCAAAAATATTTGAATTAATATTAAAACGTGAACCTTTTTGTAAAATTGAACATAATTTATATGCATCTTCTTCTGGTATACATGCATGTTGATGTATTGAATATAAATCTTGATCACTTGTTGTTAATGATAATGAATGTGTACAAAGAAGAAATTGTAAATTAACAAAACGTTGTTCAATAAAATATGTTAATAATAATTGTGACCAACATCGTCGATGATATATTGATGTTGATATTGAATCAATTAAACATGTACTTGCTTGTAACCAATTTGTTATTTGTGTTTGTAATTCATAGATAAAAGATGATGGTAAATAAAGACGACGTAATCGAATTGACGAAATAAATCTATTATTTCGATGTTGATCATTTTGTTTCGACATGTCGCTATCAGATATAGAATGTCTTAATGACGAATGACTATGAAGTAAATTTAATTTTAATTCAGTTAAGCGATTTGATTGTCGTAATATTGTACATAAATGATTTTGTCTTGGTAAAATATTATCAGGTGTATAATGATTTTCAATATCACTTCCATCATCATCATCATTATCACCATCACCATCACTATTATCTAATTCTTCATTATTTTTATTGGAAGTAAAAAATTTTTCTACTAATATAGATGGTGTATTAGTGATATATGTGTTTTCATTATCTTCATCTTCATCACTTGAAGAATTTTTTTCATTATCATTTTCACCAGAATCATTTGTTAAATTCATCGATCTATTGTCAAATGAACGTAAATAAATATTTATATACCTATTTAGAAATCTAGAGATTGATTTACAGTAAAAAGAAACAAACGATTATAAATAACACTGTAATATAATTAAAGTGCTTGATATTTGGTCAACATAGATTGTATTCGTCAAATTGCCGCAATATTGTCATTGAGTTATGCATCTGAAAGTCACAAAAACTATTAACAACTATAGTTTATGCCTATTTGTCTCGTTCTCTCTATCCATCTTTTTCTTCGTTATATACAAACACACGCCGTAAGCAGCAACAACAACAGCATCAGCAGAGAGCTGCCTGAAGGCGAAAGAAGAGAATCAGAAAATAAGGTTCTTTTGCTTTCTTTCTCGTTCGGTCGATGCCCATGAAGGAATAGGACTGAGAAAGAAAGAGAGAATAGAGGAGGAGGAAAGAAGGACATGTGAAAAATAAGTTTTGATGACCTTGAATACTAGAAACAAAGATGACGAGGAGTGCTAAATGAAAGGTTCACACTATCATATAAATTCTATCGAAACATTATGATGACCTTGAAACAATATGATCATCGCTTAAGAAGGCTTCATATATTGCACTTATACTAGTATTTGATAAACTGGCATAGTTTAATATGATCTTACAATCATCTATATAAAATCATCATTTATATTTTGCTCACCTTTACCAAAAAAAAAAGTCACTTCGAATGATCGTATACAGCTGCTGTGATTTTTTTGTACAATCATACATAAATAACGCATAAATAATCCAAACATTGTCCAAAGTATTCTAATAAATAAATGACCTTAGACGAAATAGGTTGCATGTTGAGAGCTAAGCAAAAGCAACAAATTCTCGTCTTCTCTTTCTCTGTCTGTCTCTCTCCCTCTCTCTCTCTCTCTCCTTCTCTGTGAAGCAAGCCTTCATGTCATTTTTTTGTTTTCCGTTTACTCTTGTTTTCCGTTCTCTCTTCTCGGTGAAGGTGAAGTCGTGTTTTTGCTTTGCAATCGCGTACACGAACGCGTTTACATAACTCTATTACTTGTTGACGACAAAACCTTCAAAAACATCCGTTGTTATTGTCAGTTCGTGTTTTTCAGTACGAACAAATGCGTGGGTCATTTTAGTTTAGAGTTTATCTTTCGATATGAAAACTAGACTAAATATAGAAACAAAAGAATTGTTGTTGTTGTTGTTGTCAATCGTATCGTGTAATGTTGCTATTTAGACCTTGGATAAGAAGAAAAAAAAACGAGACCAAGAACAAAAATATGATGCCTTTACATATTAAAGAACGATCGAAAAAACCTTGTACACATACAATGCCATTGAAAAGACAAGTAGTGAAGAAGGAGACAATGTCAAGTTTATCAAGGAGAATATTCGACGTATAGTAGGTCCTCATGTCTTTTTGTCTTTATTATGATTTTTTATATGAAGACAATTGTCCTTATATAATAAATAGAAATATTTTATTTTCAATAGTTCTATAAAAATCATACTTATTAAAAGAATTATACATCAGTTTTTTGTCTTTATATTATTGTCTAGATAATATTAGAAAAACGTATTCTTATGAGAAAGTTTATTGAAAAACAAATGAGTGATAGATAATTATAATGTTATGTTTCTTTTTTTTTTTTGTTTTTACATCAACAATAGACTAAGTTTTTATCCCGATGAGAAAAACCTTGAGAGATTAATAATCTCAAGATAGTATTATTATTTTCTATTATTAAAAGCATCAATAATACTATTAAAGCTTATTATTTATGATCAATTCATTAATGTTAACGTATAAACATATTCTAGATTTTCTTTTGTCTTTCATAATAATCAAATTTTGATTTAGAAATCTTAGAAAAAAAAATTGATCTATACCTTTAGTTCACCTTATTAGAAAGTTTTTCACTGTATAAACAATGGCGATAGATGTATTTATTTGGAAACAGAAATTTTCTATGATTCCTTTATATCTGAAGGCTATGACAAGGTTTATTCATTAGTTATCGATCAATGTACTAGTCATGCGAAGGTTGAAAAAATCTAGCAAGAAAGATAGATAGTTAGATAGTTAGATAGATAGACAGACAGACAGACAAGGATAAAACGAAAGGAATAAATAAATCTTTGCAACCTTCTTCTCGTTGACTAATATACAGGTTGAGAGTAATGTAATTATCATGCCATTGGCATGTCCTTCGATTACATATTTCTTTCTTGTGTTGTATGAATGTTATTAAGATTCTTTTTTGATGAGAAATTCATGATCATATTTTACGTCATAAAATAACTTTTACTTTTTATATGTATATTATAGATTTCAATGGATTGATTCAAATTATTGTTTGTTTAAAAATAAAATATTTTTGATGGTATTATGTCTAAAATGCATGAGTTATCAATGAAGAATTTTCAATATTAGAAATGATAAAACAAACGATATTGATCTATGGAAATATAATGCAACAAGTTTAGAATATAGTTAATTATTACAATTGAAAACTTTTTCAAGAAAATAGACTATCTCAAATATTGAAATGTAAAATACAATCTATTTAATAATATTTTTTTTTGTACTATGAATTCAATCTTGATATTGAAGCTAAGATAATACTACAAAAGGTTTGAAGTTTTATTTTGTCCTAGTTATATTCTATTTCTATTCGTTTAAAAACAGACTTTCATCATAACTTTAACGAGTAGAATAAATAAATTATTCATAAACAAGTATTCTATCTCTCCAAATAAATAAATCTTCATTGATTATAAAATATGAAAGAACAGTGAAGATGGAAAATATTTTACTATTTAAATTTAAATAAGTTCTAACATAATATTAATTCTCCTAACATGAAATTCTTTGTCATTATTATAATTAATCATATTTTAAATCTCTATCAATTCATTGAATTGATTTCTATCATCTAGTTTCTTTCATATGAACAAGACCTTATAGTCTATTGTTTTCAGTCTATGATAACTATGTCACAATCTCAGGTTATCTAAATAATTTAATAGTGATAGTATGAGAATCAAAAATTCAAAATTTTGTCTACATAATACTTAAACACTTAACAATATTGAAATATTTTCTCAACAAATACTACTTCATAGGATAGTATCTCAATTGTGTTGAAATCTCGTTATAGATCGCAGCAAAGCAGATAGAGTTGCTTACTGTCCAGCTCACAAACGATATATAGATCTGTTTTCATATGAAAAGAACTTCTTACTGAATACAGTATACACGAGAAGAGCTAGTAAGTCATTTTTGTTTAACTCAATACTTCAGTTTTATTGAATAGGGAACTATCCAAATGAGAATAAGCGAAAATTCCGTACTTCAAAGATATGCTAAAGCTTTTATCTAGAACATTTTGGCTTTTTTGAAGTCTTCTATCAATATGTGTCATGTGTATATTAGTTTGAATTCTTTTTATATCAATTTTTCGGACAATAAAAGTCATACACTTCATTGTACTTTATTGATATTGAAATCTTGAAGTACGATGAACTATATGACTTTAACTGTCCGACAGATTTGTATAAAATGAACTGAAACTAATATCCACGTGACTCACGTTGATATAAGACTTGAAAAACGTGAAACTTTGACATATCCTTCGAGTACGGTGAAGTATGAAATTTTTACTGTTTCTCTCTTAAAGCCGTTACACCGGCAAATTTATGATTAAAAAGTGATGTATTGAAACGTCTGCCTGCAGATCTATTATACTAACCATCATGTTTCTGAAAATTCTATTCAATAATGATTCAATGAACCGTTTGGTTAAATAAAAGATTGAAAGAAAATTGGAAAACAATCAAAATACATTGAGTTTCGTTTTTTGTTTTGATTGACTATTGGAGGCAGTCCAATAATGTTGTTGAAATCTCTCTTGTGACATTCTCTAGTATTATTCCTTTACTCTAATTTTGTGTCGACAGAAAAATATTTTATCCTATGCGTCTGTAGATAACGATATTTTTCTTCGTGTCGACAAAAAAATATTCAAATAATTAGAGTACATATTTAGTAAATTTTCCGTTTTAGTACAAAATATTCTTAAGTCAGAGATAATTTCAAACATGTTTTCTATGAATTCCTATACTTCTTTAATAATTCATTTTTTATTTGTTCAATTCATAAATAAAAATTGTTAGCACAATTTCTATGGAACTAAAATGTAAAACATGATGTAGCTGCTGTTGCTAATCACAAAAGATTGCTTTATTCTATCTATTTTAGAGCATATTTCTTCATCATCCGTTTATTTAATTCTACAGAAATACAATAAGAAAGTATATATAGTTCATACATTACAACAAGAAGTTATTAATAAACGGTCTTTAGTCGCATATCAACAACATCTGTCATGATCTATGTGTAGGTAGAGGGGACAAATTTTCACCTCTATATTTCAACACTTCTTTTAGATCGTATTTTACAAAAGCAGATATTTTAAATTGTTTGATTCTTAAAATAAATACTTGAAAGTTGTTTATTATTTTCTATCTTAATCAAAACAAAATTCTTTGATTAATATAAATTATCAAAAGCTATTTTTATTCATAAAATTAAAAAAATAAAAAACAAAAAATGATTTTTTTCTTCTTAATTTAATGATGTTGAAGTGAGATTTCAGTTAAATTTGACTTGTGAGATGTTTGATCATTTAATGCTACTGGTCGATCATAATCATTTAATGAATGATTATAGTTTGCATTAATTTGTTTTTGTTCAAGACGACAAAAAACACATAAAATGGCTGATGATGATGTATCATTATTTTCACGTTGTAATTTGTTTGAAGAAAAATTTTTACCACATTTTGAGCACTAAATTAAAAGAAAATAATTTTTGTTTATATATTTATATATATATATAAACATAAAAAAAAACGAAAACAAATGTTTTTCTTTTTCGTAAACTTACACTGACAATTTTAGCATTTTTTAATGTTTTATTTTGTTCTATAACTTGTTTTATATTATCACA